ACTAGAATCCCGCCACTCCACCACAGAGTCACCGCAGTAGACGTTAGATGAGCGCTGTCGCTCCGCGGCACTTGTTTATTGAAAATGCTCCAAGCGTCTGTGGTCTACATGGTCTCTCGTCACTACCTTGTGTTGTGATCACGCTAGGCAGCCTAAAAAAGCTGTGTGGCTTTCTCTGATACCGATTGCTGCAGTTGACAACACTGCAGGAGAGCGGCGTTGGGATGGATTTGCTTAATAGGCGAATAAAATGAGCAGAGGTGCGTTGCTCAATGTACTTGTACCATGCCTTCAGGAATTGGTTTCGGGAACCGTCATGGCCGGCGGCATTGCATTGTGGGTAATTTGGAAATTTGGGGAGCCCTCTATACAACAATAGGCATGCCCACGTGACTAAAAATCAGTGCATTCGACCCCCCTCCCCCGTACTTCAATCAATGCTGCCCCAGCCAGCAAGCACGAGCCACGATGTGCACAGCTACGGACGTGGGTAACAGGGGTGTCGCGGACTGCTTTTTTTCATTTTTTTTTTGCGTGAGAATGCGTAGAGCATGCGGGAGTGCGGGACAAGAAATTTGTAAATTATGACCACTTGACTCGGTATATGAATACAATACGATACAAAATATATTGCATAGCAGGGTTTCTTCTGAGGGAAAATTAGACAACGGTGGTAATGGCAAGTTTGGGGAAAAAACGCACGATGAATTCAAAGACATGCAGTAGGCACGAATGTGGATTCTGCAGGCAGACGCGGGGGGAGAGAGGTAGAGGAGGGTTCTGGGGGTCTCCCCCAGCAAAATGTTTAAAATTTGAATGTCTTAGACTGCATTTGAGGCACCCTGAAAATAAAGTTTCACCTTTTAGTTTAAATATTACTCTGTTAGCAGACCTACCAAATCTCACGCATTTCGCGGGAGACCCACGCATCTGCTGGACCCATTCAACGGAGTTATCGTAACAGGTATCAGTGTAAGTACGTGTGGAATATCTAAAAATCATGTTTTAGTTCTTGTGCATAGTTACTGAAGTCTATACTGTCATGATATAATTTGTTTGGATTACCTCTGTTTTAGCCCCGGTATCTCCTGAAGTTTGAACAGATCTACTTGTCAAAGCCTACTCACTGGGAAAAGGATGGTGCACCAAGTCCTATGATGCCTAATGAAGCCAGACTTAGAAACCTGACGTATGTGAATTGTGGGGAAAAATTTATTTTTAAATAAAGTAAAATAAAAACTATACCAGGAAAGCAATTGGTGATAGAACGTGATTTATGTATATACTTCATTGTACTAGTCAATTGTTGTGAGTCGTGACTACTTAGTTACAATATTTGGTGATTATAATTTATAGGTATTCGTTGTTTAAGGGCAGAATAAGGAGTATTATTAGTGAATTTCACAATACTAATGTAATACACATTTTCTGTCTTATATAAATACGTAACCTTATTGTAAAATCAAATATTTATTGTTTCTAAATTCTATGCATTACTTTAATACTCACTAGAACTAGAAATAGTCAATGATTATACAGCCTTGATATCTCGAACTACTTTATGTGTTATTTGTAGGTACTCTGCCCCACTCTATGTCGACATCAAGAAGACGGTGGTGAAAGAAGGTGAGGATCCAGTCGAGACACTGCACCAGAAGACATTCATTGGCAAGATCCCGATCATGCTTCGCTCTACGTACTGCCTGTTGAATGGACAGACGGATCGTGATCTGACGGAGTTGAACGAGTGTCCGCTAGACCCCGGCGGCTATTTCATCATCAACGGCTCGGAGAAGGTACGTGGCTGGCCAAGTTCTAACTCTGTTGTATGCTGATGTTTAGAGGCGGGTAAGATATAAAACGTAGTTGAAACTTTAGAGAAATGTACAGGTAGACATACATATAGGCATACAGGCTTTAGTCAAAGTATAATACATAATAGAGATGGAGAGCAAGAGGAAGAAGGGGACTAGAATAGATGGGGAAAGATAAAGAGAGAGGGTGAAGGCAACTTGGTGGGAAATTTAATAAAATTGTTGAACAACAAAATGTTACTGGTACAGCTTAATTAATGTATATATGAATGCTTGTAGGTGTTGATTGCCCAGGAGAAGATGGCTACAAACACTGTGTATGTGTTTCAAATGAAAGAGCACAAATACGCGTACAAAACTGAAATCAGGTCTTGTCTTGAGCACTCGTCACGTCCCACCAGCACACTGTGGGTGAACATGCTGGCTAGAGGAGGTGGAGTAAGTATTGCTCTAAGTTTAATATGTTATCAGGAGTAATGTAAGGGTGACACACTAAAATGAGAAGAATCATACATTTACCCGTTTACAGACATTGTTGCCCAAGTGTATACTATAATTTTAAATATTTTTATTATGTATTTATAATATGATTTCCTACTAAAAAACTACTAAATACTATGCGCGAGCGCGTGCTTGCGTATGGTCGGTCGTTCATCTGTGCACGAGTGTGCGCGTGTGTGTAATATATATGTCTGCATTGTTCTATGCTGTAGGGTGCTAAGAAGAGTGCGATTGGTCAGCGTATCATTGGCATCCTGCCGTACATCAAGCAGGAGATTCCCATCATCATAGTGTTCCGAGCCTTGGGCTTCGTGGCTGACAGAGACATTCTTGAGCACATCATTTATGACTTTGACGATCCTGAGATGATGGAGATGGTACGGCAACAGTTGTGAGGAATGCGCGCAGTGTTCGACAATATCGGTGTGAAACTGCATGTGTATGAAATTTACGAGCGAGCATTATAACGTTAACGTTATGTTTTTACTTTAGTCTTGTTTTAAAAACGTCTCATTTTCCATTTCGTCAGATGAGTACTGCTTATTTGTCAGTGGTTTGACAGTTCATACATGTCATGCTTCAAATGCCCTGTTAACATATTGCTGGATGTTCGTTGTTGATATTCTGCTTAAAAATTGAGTTAGAGAGATCACGTGTAAGACATATAGCCCATGTAGTGAGATAGATAAATTCATCGTGCCTCTTGCGTATGTAGGTCAAGCCGTCGTTAGACGAAGCTTTTGTCATCCAAGAGCAAAATGTTGCTCTCAACTTCATCGGCGCCAGAGGAGCGCGACCTGGTGTCACAAAGGAGAAGCGCATCAAATATGCGAAGGAAATCTTGCAGAAGGAAATGCTACCGCACGTTGGTGTCAGCGACTTCTGTGAGACAAAGAAGGCATACTTCCTTGGGTATATATCAAAATTGTTTGTTATTCTCAACGATGTTTGTATGTATGAGCTTGTGGCTACATTGCCCAGTTCAATATTTAGACAAGAGTCAAGTCAAGACAAATAGGTAAAATAGACTCGGAATGTAGGTGTTGATGTTAAATGAAGGTTAGGCGTTCCGTCATGTACTTGGACGGTCAAATATGTAAAAGATCGATAAAATACATTGAAAAAATGCCATGACACGTTTCCCAGCTTGTATGTGTTGGAATGTATTTGTTAGACTTTGCATGTTTGTGCATATATGTATGTGTATGTTGTTTTTGTGTGATGCGTTTTGAATGGGTTTGGTTCTCCTCTGCATTAATCATTACTTATTTGGTGTACATTTATTTTCTATGCAGCTACATGGTGCACAGACTTCTGCTGGCAGCACTAGGTCGAAGAGAGATCGACGATCGTGATCACCTTGGCAACAAGCGTCTGGATCTGGCCGGTCCTCTTATGGCATTCCTGTTTCGGGGGTATGTTATCATCAGCTTGAAATAGCTCAATTTATTTGGATATCTAGCTATATGATCTATATATGTGACCCATCACATCGAAACAGGTCTTAAGTTGCATTTTGGCTGATATGAGTTATGCACGTTTTCAGATTCCTGACTCCATAAGCTTTATTTTGATACTTCATTCATCTCTGTAGCATGTTTAGTTAGAACTGGAGATATGGCCGGATTTGCCCGAACAAATTGGACGATTTCTGAGGAGTAGAATTTGAGAAAAATTAGTTGACAAAATCTCAAAATTGGGGAAAAAAATCAGTCACTCCACTACATCATGCACAGCTCAATACTTGGCTGTGCGACTTAAGACCTGGTTCGATGTGACAGGTCACATATTAAAAATGAAGTGATGAGCAGTGATCGGCCCTATGCGCCACCAGGCGCGAAGCGGATAGGTAACAAGTAACAGATGAGCAGTGAATGTGGAATAGCAAACATTTCTCTCACATGCATCTTTTTTTATTTCTTGCATCATATACTGTATACGCTGTATATTTTGGCAGTTAAGGCAATTAATTAAATTAATTATGTATATTTTGCAGTGGTTTAGTTTTCGGGAATTTCGCGAACGCGTCCCCGACTGCGAAAATAAAAACACGAGAATAATTAATACCGAATAATACCGAATTATCCGTAATTCACCGACCATGAAACTAACCGCACGCGAAATTGTCCGTCAAGTCTGAAGTCGCGAAAATATCTGTACGCGAAAAATATGGCGTATACAGTATTCTACAGAAGTGTAAGGGCTACATGTTTTGTCCCTGTGAACTGATGTTCTTCCTACACATCCACGCCGTCGGGACTAAATATTTCACTTGTAATTTTAGGCTGTTCAAAAATCTGATGAAGGAGGTGCGAATATATGCTCAGAAGTTCATCGACAGAGGAAAAGACTTCAACCTGGAGCTGGCCATCAAGACTCGCATCATCACCGACGGACTCAAGTACTCGCTGGCGACGGGTAACTGGGGAGACCAGAAGAAAGCTCACCAGGCTCGAGCTGGCGTGTCCCAGGTGGGCTTAGCCGCTATGTCTCTGATGCTGTAATGAGCAAACTAAGTGTTCTTCTTTATTTCATCTAATACAAAAGTAATGGCATGTCTTAGGTGAGCGAGTTAGAGAGTGAGATCTGGAGATGCATTGTTCTTAAAAGTTTGTCAATCGGAGTAGAATTCGAGTTTAAAGAGTGAGATCTGGAGATGCATTGTTCTTAAAAGTTTGTCAATCGGAGTAAAATTCGAGTTTAAAGAGTGAGATCTGGAGATGCATTGTTCTGCAGCAGTTCTCGGTTTGCTGCAGTTGATGCTGTCTCCATGACAGTGACCCTGTTTCCGACCTCCTTACCCTGCAGTCTCTGCCCAGGGTCAGGCCAGTAAGAGCGGGTACATTCCTGGCACAAGATACAAAAATGATTATGATCGTAGATGGATGACGTGTATTACTGCCAAGAGATGGAACTTCGCAACAGTATGCCACGTGGTCGAACAACGGCATTGTGCGTGATTCGACGGTGGAGTCGCGTGATGTTCTGACGGTCTGTTGTTGTCGTTTGCAGGTGTTGAATCGACTCACGTTCGTGTCAACGCTCTCTCACCTGCGTCGGTGTAACTCTCCCGTCGGACGTGACGGCAAGCTGGCAAAGCCCAGGCAGCTGCACAACTCGCAGTGGGGCATGGTCTGCCCAGCTGAAACACCCGAGGTAAGGGAAAGCGAGCTTGCAATGGCCCCAGTGGCTGTATCGAGCTGCAGGGAGCATGTGACACCCACACATAGTGGTGTTATTGGGAACGAGTATGTGGCGGTGTTGAGATTTAGGGAGCATGTGACACCCACACGGTAGTGGTGTTGGGAACGAGTATGTGGAGGTGTGCTTGGCAGAATGTAAGGTCGCGGAGGGATTGCACGGGGACTCCTGCTATAACTATCATAGAATGTTATTATGAGCTAATAATACATGGAGTGTATAACGGGAAAACGAGGAAATGGTGTTATATTACGGCAAAATTAATCAATTTCAAATGCAAGTCTAGAATGAATTGATAGTACAGGTACACCACCGATTTGCCGGAACCCTTGGTTCCAATGCTTTTCCGGATCATCCGTTTTTTCAGACCAAAAGAGGTCACATAATAATTCAACAATACACCTCTGAGCAACTAAATACCTCCCAAGTCTCTAAAGCACCATGCACTGCTAGAAATGTACACACAAATAGTAAATGTAAATTTATGTAAACCACCACTGACACTTGCACCTGCCTTAGACGCCATATCTAGGGGAAAATTTGAGCAAAACAAGGTGGTGGCCACCTGGTGAATTTTATCCGGACTAAAACAGGTTCCAGACTATCAGTGTCTGAAAAATACCTGTACCTGTACCTGTACCTGTATGCTGTATTGCATTAAGCAGAATTCTCTCCTCTCTAAATCGAGTCTAACGGCTTGTCTCTACAACAATCTAATATGAAAATCGTGAAATGTGTCGGATCAGCTTGTGCATCAATTATTGTAGGTAGGAATAAATGTTCCAAAGTTATCTTAATCTTTGTAAGCTTAGCAATTGGAGTAAACTTTTAGTTCAGTTAAAGAGTGAGATCTGGAGATGCATTGTTCCGCAGCGGTTCTCAGTTCACTGCGGCTGATGCTGTCTCCATGACAGTGACCCTGTTTCCGACCTCCTTACCCTGCAGTCTCCGCCCAGGGTCAGGCCAGTAAGAGCGGGTACATTCAATCCTATGCTTGACAAAGATTACAACCCAGCCACACACAACAGGTGGTTTACCTCATGAGAATTGTACTGGCGCAGAAAACTTAGATGGCGGGTGGCTAACATCAGTCGATGCTCTCGTTGCAGGGTCACGCCGTAGGATTGGTGAAGAATCTCGCACTGATGGCGTACATCTCGGTCGGATCTCAACCTTCGCCCATCCTGGAGTTCCTCGAGGAGTGGAGCATGGAAAACCTGGAGGAGATAGCACCGTCAGCCATATCAGAGTAAGGGGGCGAGCATGTTAGCACAGCACAGACATTACCTCGTTAATTTTAATCCCATTCCTTTTGCTTTAATTATACTGTTTTATTACTATTATTATATTAATTACTATAATTGCTTTAATTTCACTATTTGCTTTAATTACATATGAACGTTGTGCTCTTGCCCTAACTCATGTGGCATTTCGATGCGTTAGAACTGTTATACGTTATGAACTGTTCTTGTGTTTGTTGCTGCAGTGCGACAAAGATCTTTGTGAACGGCTGCTGGGTGGGCATCCATCGTGATCCCGAGCAGCTAATGAACACCCTCAAGAAGCTGCGACGACAAATGGACATCATCGTGTCTGAAGTAAGCGTCACGTCGGCATGGTAACGCATTCACGCGTTGACGTGGTGACAAACCGTCGATGTGGCGTGTTGTGTTGCTGCGTGGTTCGAAATGTTGTTTTGCCCATTCACCATGTTCACGTGGAGTCTGGTGTTTGTGACGACGATATTCTTTGTTTGGAAGTGTGGTTTAGATCTGCCGATGATTGAGTATTGCTTGAAATAGTTCGAAATGAATGCGATATCAGTTAGAAAACTTTTTTTGTAGATGTAAGTAGTCGGCAAAGTGAATGATGTGAGGGTTAGTGGAGTAGCAGACTAGTCTGCAGAGGTAGAAATAAGGAGAAAAAAAGAGATGGTCCACAGGACCATCTAGTTTGAAATTTAGATGGTTCTTCAAAATTTTAGATGGTCCTCTTAAATTTCAAATTGTTCTCTAAAAGTAATGCGGCGTGCAAGCGTAAGAAAAAGATTTTACGATACAGTAATTGTTTATTCACTTTAATAGTATATTGGAACGTGGAAACCTCAAAAAAAATTCCCGTGAAATGGGACCAAAATATTCAATAGTCCGTCGGACCATTGACTTTGAAAATCTGATGGTCCTCCTGATTATTTGATGGCCCCGGACCATCGGACCATCGCTTATTGCGACCCCTGGTCTGTCGGTTTGTTAACGCGGTGCTCTCCTGCAGGTGTCGATGATTCGTGATATTCGCGAGAAAGAGATTCGTATCTACACGGACGCAGGCCGCATCTGTCGTCCGCTTCTCATTGTCGAAAACCAGAAACTGCTGCTGAAAAAGCGTCACATCGACATGCTGAAGGAAAGAGAATACAACAACTACAGGTGCGGCTGCCTGCCTGTCGTGTGTTTAAGGAGAGAGGGGGATAA